CTTACTTTTTTCTTCGCAATTCTGACCAATAACAATTTTGAACAAATTTTGTTTAAACATTACATAGTAAATTAAATTTTATAACACCCACAGAAAATAATGTAATTTGATTCAATAATAGAAAAGTTATTCTGTTTTAAAGGGTGTTCAAATACTTTCGTGAATCACTATGTCTACAATTATATCGGTAACGAAAGGATTAAAAAGTGAGATTTTGTTATCATTATAATATTTCCAACAAAGTAAATAAAACGTTACATAGTTTGTGGTACTCCTTTCCGCTTATACTAGATACATGACGTATGTAAGGAAGGAATTTCAGCGATTTATGCAGCTGATCGCGTCAAGGAATGAAGGAAACGATAGATAAAGAGAAGCTGGAGTCTAAGTACGAACGTAATAAGTAAAACTTTGTATAATATTTACCTATAAATTGAAAGGGTTTCTTTTACTTTATGTGCATATGTATGTTCAATGACACCAAAACGCTTGCGATGAACGAAGGTAACTCGACGTCTATCGCGATCGAATAGATATGCGTGCACGTCGAAGAATGGGCCGCTTTCGGGTCATCGAAAAAAAAATCCATGCATGTTACTTGTCACAGACAATGCTAGCACAAATAATACAAGCCGACTATTGTCGTCCACAGATTAAATCTGCCGAAGTGACTCAGCGTTTTGACTTATTGTTAGCCACAGTTAACAGAGACTGAAAAACAACATTAAACAAATAATCGTACGTTTAACGTGCACGACAATTACGTTATTAAATGCATAATTAGATTTTAGTCGTGTTTTTCGAAAACGTTATTACAATATACCATAACTGTCTTCTTATCAAAAGTGTTGTAATCTGACTTATTTCAAATCCGATAGCAACTAAGATAATGTTTATAGTACATATTTGACTTTATCGTCTAAATAATATGCGATTTCCTAACGAATGAATAAAAAAATGTCAGTATCACATTTTCATTAAATAATATTGATAATTTCTTTCTTTTAAAAATGCTTAAAAACCTTCAATTAACAACATTCCTTTCCGGAATACAGTCAATAGAATGCATTCGTTCCTAAGGGTGTTAAAGGACGTACAGAAATTTTTACGGTGGATTCCTTTTTAGAAGATTAAACTTTAGGTGATATTTGCTCGAAGCTGGGCCTCGAATTTGCTTTGTGCCACCCGACTGTAATAAGCGGCTCGACCTAACGCGAGAGAAGAGGGTGGTTGACTTAACGAAGTGATCTTCAGCTAACTTGAATCCGACGTTTGTAAGCCTAATAATACGAGTTCTTTTATTGTATTTTATCGGAACAGAAATATTTTATTATTTTTACTAAATCTATATCAAGTGATAAACTGTCCTGTGTTATTGTAACACATTTTGGGAAAGAATTATATTTAGACTACGGATTTTTACACAAAATAAAATTAGTGGGGTATCAATTTAAGATATGATATTTAGTAACAATGTCTTCTAATCTTTCAAAAATCATGCTATGCATTTTGCTGTTGATACTTTATACACTTTTGTCCACTATATTTTTTATATTTTCTATGTACTCAATTTTACTATAAATGAACAACATCGGTACTCTAATTATATTCTTGAAGATATTGTATTTTTTCAAAAAACTGTAAAATCGTACATGACGGATTTAGGAAAGAAATATTCCTTCAAATATGACTTTATCTTATTAGGTACATTGTTATAAAAGTATATTAAAAATGTTTCACTGTCTTCCCTCAGAATATTAATTTTCTGTCGACATGAATGACATGCAACGTGGACACCCGGCAGAAAGCGGCACGTGCGAATGTATGAATGAAAGTTTGCGAGGATAGTAAGAACAGGTCAATCTGCCAATTGACCACTGGACGGTCAGGACTTGCTATGAACGAAGGTTCAAATAGTTCCTCCCTTCTATGTTTCTCCTCGGGACGCTATAACGACCCTCACGTGCACACGCTTTTGGCTCGGTGAAGACTTACGTTTACCACTACCCACCGTGGGGAATTGGTCAAGCAGAGTGCAACAGATAAGGGTGGCCATGGTGGGGGATAGTTGACTCTCTAGTGGCCATTCGGAGTCAGTTGCTCTTATGCTTGCCAGACATTAACAACACTCACGCTCGGGCTCTTGCTGCGCAGGCCTCGTGACACGGAACGTCACAGGTGCTTTCGGAACATTTTCAAATCCGGATCGTTTGAACTTGTTCGTCATTTTTTATTCGTGCATGTGCAGTGTTTTATTGATAATTTTCTCCTACTTGAAGAAATTTCTCCGATTTTTAGTTATTACATTTCGGTCTGCGGATTGTCATTTCTCAATTTCCTAATTGTGTATCGGTCGAGAATTTTATATTGTTGAATATAAGAGATGTTTGGGAACGTCGAAGAGTGAATTGGAATTTTTTATGTGATTCAGAAGAACAGTAATTAAAAACAAACTTGGTTCAGTTGAAGAATTTGGAAAATTGCTTGGAGAAGTAACATTGTGTGATACCTGACAGAAAAAAATCAAACTTCTCTGGCAATTAATCGATGACAGTGATTAATTGCATTGGTGTTTGCTATTTCCTTCGGAGTCTTGAAGGGGCATTCAAATTCCTTCAACTCGAGGATCGATGAGGAAGTGTGCGAAGGGAGGAAGCCTGATTCTCGTTTGGGATCTTCTTGTGGCATCGTGGAGGTCCTCAGGATCGAGAGAACAATGACGAACGACAGTTAACGAAACTTTGTTTAAAAATTCTGTGCCGGGTGATCGAGGGTTCGTTTCAGGGGGGGTCGTGGATATTATGTTAGCAACGGGATTATGCGTGATCCTGAAGGTGTTGGCGTTGGCGGGAAGCGTCTCCGCGCTTCTGCCGGAAGGCTTCGAAGATCGGTCTGCTCCAGCCAACCTCCAAGAGGAATGCGCCGCGAAATGCCCGGACCTCGACTTCAATCAGGTCAGAATCCTATGAAGTAGATTTTCAAATTGTTGCTAAACGTAGTATCGTAAAATCTATTTATATTAAGCGTGCGAAATCTTTCTTCAAGGCGAACCAAGGTTCAACATACATAACTCACGATGAAATCTTATCATATATGTTCTGTTAAGTCGTCTGTGAATTCGAAAAACAATTTGCTTTTTAAATGCCTTTTTTAGTTTAAATGTTCATCAACTGTATCTCCGTTTAACTCAAATTCACGTTTAAGTGTTAAACTTAAAATCTTTTATTTAGAAGACAGTGACAGATGTCTTTTTAAATATAAAAAATAGAGGTAAACAGTAATGTGAATCTTGATATATCGATGCTAATACCAGATTATTTATATTGATAGTAAATTATGTATATGATCCTCATATTCATCCCAGAAGACAGTAAGAGGAGTGACAGTGAGATAATACAGAACTGATTACTATTAAATAAAAAAGACAGTATTATCGTTCCTCTCTTATTTTTATCGTCACATTTACATATCAGCATTTTTCGTGATTACCAATATTATTATAACTACTCTTATGAGAGTGGCAATAGATAAAAAGTAAATGAAGTTTGTCGCGTGAACGTTCGGTTACGTAGCCTTTGGAATTGGAAAAACGTTTCTAAAAGACAGCGACGTGCGTATAGTAAACTGTGGATAAATTGCCCGTGAAATACACGATGTTCTTTTCTTTGCATTTTCACAGCATGTACACTTAGCGTGAACGTGCGTGACTGTTTACAGCAATAAATAATTGCGCGCGGCGAACATCTTTATCGGCTCGCGATCCCGCGATGACGGCGAGGTCAATAAAAGTCGCGAAGTTCGCGTTGTCCCGTGAAACGAGACGATGCAGAAATTGAACTGCGATCAGCCTCCACCGATAGCCCTTATTCCTAAAAAATGTCGACTATTTTCGCCCGTCGTTTTGTCTAGTTGTTCTATGGTTCTCCGTTCATTTGTCATCGCTTCATAAAATACTTTCGTCACTGAAATATACGTATATTTCGTAGATAACAATAGCGACAAGTTAAGTAACAATATTAATAAACTAAGGAATACGTACAGTTTATTCTTAAAGAACGCATGTAAAATGAACTTGATCTTTCTGCAAGAGAATTGTACTAAAAATATTGTTTTATATTCAAATCTTCCAGAAGAATAGAAAGAGGAAAGAAAATGTAACTACATTCGCGTACGTAATTAAATCCGCGTGCAATTTTAAATGAAAAAAGATTAACAAGAAAAATGGTCGATTCGTTGAAACCGCGAGAAGCGTTCTCGGAGCGAAGCGAGCGTGGCACAAAAATGGCTACGCGCACGAAGGACGTATCAATTTAAGTCCGCTCTTCATCCCGACTGTACCATTCATTAATTAACTTAACTATACGACGGCGCATCATCGCAGTCCATAAGCACGGTTTCGAGAATGAAACGCGAGTTGTAACGGATACAGGAGCTTTTAATCATACCTTTTTTCTTTTTCATCTTTTCTATTGAAATATCGATTTGATAATTACTCTGTTCAGGGATGAAGTATGGACTTCTTAAAGATGGTTTTTATTTAACGTTTATATTCTTCTGAGAGGACTGTTGGAACTGTGTACGTATCTATTTTTTATACGTTTTTTCTTCTCCGTGGCTCTTACGAAGAATGAATGAGGCGATTGAAAGGATGCATCAGGAGAGATAAACGTAACAAAAGGCGGTCTGGAGAAATGATTAAACCGATCCTTTCGTGGAGAGTTTAATTGATAATTGCTGGCAATTTCGTTCACGCCAATTGCCAAAGACACTGATTACAAGCTTTTTACGGCGAATTGGTTCACACGAGTTACAAGAAGAACCATTCGTTTGGGAGGATAAAATCAGATTCATTTTCGAGAATATTTTTTTGTCCGGAAATTTTGCCAATAAATATATTTTTATATTTCAATTTTTATAGTTCAATCGTTTGTCATGTCTTCGTGACAGCAGTAAACTGTATAATGATCGTAGCATTTAGACATTACTGCATTTCAAATTATGCACGAATCAGTTAAATTGAAATAGATTAAAGTTCCTATTGTTTCATGGTACCTCTCAGAAGAGGTTGATTAGTCTAATCTCAACAACGTGGATGCGTTTCATCAATACGTAAATATTACGTTAGATGGAAGAACTCTGCTTGAAACGCGTAGCTTTATTTCAATTATCAGGGTCCGGGGGTAGGGGTATAGATTGGTTTTTGGGCAGATGAAATAAATAACAGTTTCAGAAATCAACTTCTGAATCCCTTATCTTCCCTTCGTCTCCAACTTGATTTCTCTACGTTTTTTCACATCTTGCTCGAGGTTCGGAGGGCAACCATTCGACTCGAAGATAAGTATCAATCCGGGTTAGAGTCGAGTATAAAAAACGAGACGATTTATAAAATTCCAATAGATTGACAACCGTGTTTATGGTGAGGCGCGTACGAATGGCGCCCAATGATATTTACAAAACATCAGTGGCAACGAAGTCATGTTATCGTATCTCGAGGTGATGCCTAGGATGACCTTACTATGCTTGCATAACCAGAATAGCTTTCTAAACTCTAGCCACACTCACAATTTTCACGAGATTCCATGACGACTCCGATCGTATCAATCTGCTCGACGGATCATTGCTATGCAATTTTCCACTTTAAGAGAGAAAGAAATTACGTGAAATACTCTCGTGTAAGGCAAGGATATTAATAAGAAAATCTTGTAACCTTAAGATTAATCTAGCAAAAAAATTAATGATTATGGCTTATGAGGATAGTTTCTAATAAACAATGGTTCATTCGAAGTCTTTTAATTTTGCAAAGATGCTTCATTCAAATAGAATATCTTAGAGTTACTTTCACTATCCAGTTATCGTATATAGCATGTATGTCATTTGTAAATACTAGAATCGGAACCATGTTGTTTTACGATTGTCATATTTATCTATACCATTACGTATTTAAGTAATTATATTATCCTTATATATTACACGGGCACTGGAGCGTAATTTAACAAAAAAGGTAAATTGGTGCAATTGGTGCTTCACACGCTTAACCGTTCTCTAAATAGCGAATGGAATTCCTCAATTTGGTCGACGCCGAATTGAATTTTTCCTCCGTAATTGAAAAATAATTACTTAAACGGCGTTTGTAATGAATCTACGCCCACGCGTTAACCTACATACGATTTCGCGAAACGCGAGCGAGCCGTTGCGACGCGTAATTCCTACCTATAATGAGGATTTGAATCGGTCGTGAATTCTCCGAGCCGTGGCACGGGACGGGATGGCCAGTGCGAAACTACGTAGAATCCGCAGGATCGTTCGACGTGCAATATTATATGTGTAGCCGTACACAATGAACTTCCTGCCGTCCACATCCTCTCACCTACAACGCGTGCCTCGCGACTTACTACGGATTCACTCTCCGAGCGTATCGATGATCGTGTGAAATTCGGAATCGACGAAGTTTCTATAATTCACACGTGATCATTTCGTCTCCGTCTCCTTTTACTTTTTTACGCCGTTGCGAACGTAACGATTCGTACACGTTAAACGCTTCACCTGAAGGTAAATGCAGTGTAGCGAAGCGAAGCTCGATAATAGTATTTTACGTTGCATAAGAACAAGTTTCATCTGTAATGGAAGTGCTATTTTATAATCGATGCTCGACAGACTGGGAATAGAGTGTATCATTTTTCGTTTACGATATGTCTCATAAAACTGATAGAGAAATTCATCATCTCTGCCTAATGCCATTAGGGTATGTCATGGTATTATATGAACGTTTTACAGGATAGTAGAATATTGCACATTTACGTCAGAATCATGAGCAGTTATTAGTTTACGTGGCACTTGGTTCAACGTGGATTCTGTGAATTGGATTACAAAACAATATATCGAACTAATATATTTCGAAGATGACACGTATAAAATGTTGTTGCATGTGTCGGAAATCTTCAGGTAAAAACAAATTTATTGATAAAATAATCTTTAATATCAGAGGAAAGATCTTCACGCATTTTGTAACGGAACTCGGCGTCAAGCAGGTATACGGGCTTTGGAGAGGGGACCCACATCTATTAGGATTTCGTGAATTCGATGGAATTTCGTTCTGAAAGAACGATGGGCACATTGGATTTTCTCTCACGATCAATAAACGAGTGATTTATCATTTAATCTGCGTGGCAATTTCAATTTAAGGTGTAACTGAGTATACTCTGTCATTCCTGTCTATAATGATTCCTTGAAAAACAACGTCGTTAAATACTTCCAGACCTGAACCGCAAACAAATCCTGGGAAGTAGACTTTCGGCGTCTCTACATGACGTCATATCAATTAAAACGTATGCACGTTCTACGTACGCACACGTACTTACATTACCTACACCAGTTTGAAGATCGTAACGACTGGCAGCTGATGCCGGCTGTTTTTAATTTGTCCCATGATCTTGAGGATAATTAACGAAATTAAATGGCGTCTGGTTGTCCGAACCAGTGACATGCCGGTCTTGCCGAATCGCAACGTTGGAGAGTTCATAGCTTTTTGCAGTAACTCATTGCGCTAATCTTGAGAATTATCTTGAAGGCTATAGCAATTACCTGGTCACAATGTGTGTAGACGTGTATCCCATAAATATGTAGCCACATAAATTTTTTTCACTAATGAATCACTTCTCTGATATAATAAACTTAGTTGGTTAAATAAAAGTTAAAGAAAGAGATTGTTCTTGGATAATGAAATTTCGATACAGCAAAACGTAGTTTAGGTACACGAGTTCTTCAACGTGTTTACTAACGTTACATAAGAATCGTGCATGGGAAACAGTTTTTCAGTGTAAATACCGGGATGGGGAAATGCTTCCTGGTTGCCGGGGTGTTAACTAGCGCGAAATGAACCATGTGTATCTTTTTAATTCGTCTGTAACGCGAGAATAATTGATGGAACGCGTAGAGACGTTTGCGCTCAACGACGCGGCGCGGCGGGCAGTGGTAAAACGTTTGAAATAGCTGACTGATACGATGCCGAGAGTCTCTCGAAAACGGTCGACGAAAGATGGACGGAGAACGCGAGAAAGGCACACTGTCAAGGTGTTTGCCAAAGACAAACCTCGGACTTCAAACGTAGATGTTCCATCTGAGTGGACACCGTCCGGTATACATTCAACACCGTGCGACCACGGCTCGTTCGGAACCGCACGAAAAAACCTGATACCACAACCATCTCCCTTTGCCTTCAACTTGAAACATCCCCGGGACTGACGCTTTGACCGTGTCAAAGCCTCCAGCCGTACCCGTATTATTTCTGAAATGTTTGAGTTGGATCTTGGGTGCCAAATTTTTCACCTGTTTGCTATTCAAAGGGTTAAGCAAGTCGACTTTCCTTGAAAGATTGTTTCGAGTGTGAAAACTCTGTGCTGAATTAATGAAATAAGTATTAAGCTATATAAATGAAATCTTATTGATAAACATGCAAGGAATCCACAAACAGCAAGACGTAATTAATGCTAAAGGGGCATCGATTTAAATTGATGATTTTTATTAAAATTCTTATGAAACTTTATAAAACTATAAATGGAATAATATTAATACGATAGATGTCGTAATTACATAAGTTTATGTAATCTGTTTTTCAAATATTACTTGTTTACTTCGAAAGGCAAGCTTTAAAAGCATTGAAGAGAAGTTCCGATAAAAATCTGTCTCGTGTGCGTCGAATTGAAGGGAAGGTCCGGTGGCCGGTCATTAAAGCCAATCATCAACGTCTTCGGGACGAGGTGCAACAGTTGGCGAACGCTCTGAAGCGTGGCAAAGACGTTGAATACGGCGGAAGGACGTGCGGAAGGACGAGCAGGTACACATTAGACGATTACTTTGGATCAGATAAAGCGGTTCTTTACCGGCTGATTTCCGCCTCGAGGATGGAAAACCATTTTACCAGGAACAGGAAACGAGGATAAAGGCATCGCAATAAAACGGAGTGACTGTTTAAAATTCACTGACACGATAATTCGACGAGATCATTAAAGACGAACGTCTTCGGTTAGGAGCGAACGTTTTTAAATAAGAATGGAATACGGGCTTCACTACTAAAAAGGAATTTAACAAGAAAACTTTGACTCGATCTTGGTTTCATGTAATGCGGCAGTCTAGGCGGTTTGATTAATCGGGTGCAAAGTTAAACGAACGTCGTTTCGAAGAGACAAGGAACGGACAACGAGATTCCTCGACAATGGAAATAAGAGAAAGAAAGAGAGAGAGACAGAGAAAGAGAGAAAGAGAGAAAAAATTCATCGTAAAATTGATACATCCACGCGGAGTGGCTGATAGGCGCGAAAACATTGCACCGGCTTTCGTTATCATACGACTGACGAGTAGTGCTTTTTGTTGTTTTGATGGGATAACGGAGAACATTCCTCGTGTGGACGTAAAACGGCAAACCTCTACTAAATTATACATAATACCATGCCAATACTAAATTGTGATACGATGTTCATTCTCAATTCAAGCTTTTCCTTTAAACATATCAGTTTCAAATCTATATTTATCAGCACTTATTACTAACAAATTGTTTTAAATAATTAAGATCAGGAGAAATTTAATTATGTTTTCTGAAGTATTCATGAAACTGTAAAATGTTACGCAGTGTTATTAAATTACTAGCTTCTTTATTCTAGCTCATCCTATTTATAAATCAAATTAATATAATTTATATGTTCACATGAATTAATACTTCATAATTTTCAATTTGAAATTCTAAACCGTATAAAAGGTGATTAGGAAATATTCGTAACGGCAACCTACCCGCAAATATTATCTGCTCGCGAGGTGCGTTGTAAAAAAAAAAGTTGAGTTTGCGAACGACGTTAACGGCGACGCAGCGCGCGCAAGGGGCCGCAGAAAATAAATTGAATCGCTTGCCAGCTTTAAAAGATAGTAAATTGTTTCATCCGGTTCAATTGACACCCCCGGTATGTACCTAATCCGTCGCGAATGAATCGCCGAATAGTCGTACCAAGTAGTTTCGGATAACGCGGTCGTCACACCGTTCACACCTGCTAACGTTACGCGTTTCCGGTACACAGGTGCACGTCCGGTTTTTAATGGAGAACAAAAGTAAAATGTTGAAAAATAGACAGCGGAACGGCATTCAGGGAATCGTCTAGATTCTGAGGGTGCCGAGCAGTTCGAACGCCGATAACAAGGGTGCTAAACCATGCGTACCGTCATGGGAATTTCGGTGGTCAACTGGTCCCTGCACATATTTAATTAGTCTAGGGATCATATTTATTCAAGAGCTCTGTACCACCTGCCGGCTCATGAATTTAAATCATTGCACGCTGAACCGGTATCAGGTTACATTTATGAAATGCAAAATATTGTTTCTATCGAATGAAAGGAAAATGAACTGTTCTTCTCTTTTTTAGAATCGAACGGACGATTCGAATTCGGAATGCGGCGTGCGATGCAAGATCGGCCAGGTAAGTACCCTAAAAACCCTATTACTTACACGCATGATAAATACTATTTAATGAGAAATTTTTAAACAATGGCAATGCCAAATAAGCGCGATATAACGTAAAATTTAACTATCCAATGTACGCTGGAATTACTTTCTTAAAATTATCAGAAATGTAAAGGTTAATTTGTATTTAATCGTTCACTTAAATACTCTCAACTTTAATGACTCGGAAGGGATGATTCGAACTTCCTAATTTAAAGCCATGGCACTACTTGGCGAATGTCCGGTCGGGTGGCCACTTGAGATTCTTAGAAAAACATCAGTTTTAGTGTCTTGCATGCAATTAAGTGAATGGAAAACTTTGTCAATCGCTGCGCTCTTAGATGATCCTCCCGCCGGGCTGTTTGCAGCACGAATTTAGAAGTCTGTCGGGGAGTAACGTTTATTAACAATATAGTCGAACGTCGGAGACGAAAATAAACGGACGCCGGTCCCCTGGTATACAATGAAAGTACTTCCGCTGCCGTCCCCGGGGTACCCGTTCGCTGGTCTCGCTACTAGAGTAGACGGTAAACGGCAAATAAAAACAAAGTCAGGTCCTCTGCGGTGTCTCCCTTTCCCGCTCGCCATCCTCTCCGGGCCGCCGCGCGTAGCCCAAAGCCAATGAATGGATTGGATGTGTACTACACGTATTACGCGTACGAATGAAAGAATAGCCGGGCTTGTTCGACTTCGTGACTTTAAATTGGATCGCGTACAAGTGCGACTATGGCGGATGTCGCCAAATTACCGTGTGACTCCGGATTCACTCTCTCCTCTCTGTCTCTTTCCGCTCCTCCGCCACTTTTCTGCCATCACGCTGCTTTTACCCTGTCGCGGAAGTACATCGGCAAAAGTGACAGAGAAAAATACGATCGCGACTGTATGCTTCCATTCAAACCCCTTGTCTGTACATATTCCATATCGGTCAAAAAATTATTTTCCTTATTAGTATAATAATGTTTCCTCGGTTTATATCATTTATACCTAGCAAGAAAACATGACATTCAATCTCGTTTTTCGATAATAATATTATAACTTATTTTTAATTGTGTGTTATTTGCTGTTTATCATATACGTCAGAATAAAATTTATATAATATGAAATTAATTGATTGTCGAGGAGTCAAACTCCAGTTCGAACGCTAAGAGATAGAATTTGAATAACAGCTTTAAAGCAAAACTTAACCGAAATCACTGGGGATCGTTAGTACAGAATGAAAAAATGGGATGCGAGGTAAGGAGACGAAACGGTGGCCGGAAGGATATCCAGCAACGCGTGTCTCCAGGGTAGGAAACGAGAACCGTAATTAAACACGAGGGAAGGACAAAAGAGTCTGCGATATATTTAATTATCGCGTGCCACCGAAAAATGAGAAAAAGAGGAACGCGTCCATTAAGAGTTTCGGTCCCTTCCTCCTGTGCGCCGTCAATGGCACAGGATGTCGTATTTACCGCATACCGTGGTCGATCGCGTGCATTTTAAATAATCTCGTGACACGCGATTCGCGTGTTGGTTAAAAAGGCCTCGAAATACCACGAGCCGCAGGTACGTGCCCATTTACGTATACGTCGTACTGTGAATCGGTCTCGAAACGATTTCCTCCCTCGCCTCATTTCACGGTCCGTACGTTCCAGTAACGCGCACGAATAACGGTTAGCTAGCGACCGACACGATTCAAAAGGAAGATGCTCTACTTTTTGTTAAACGCAACCCTAATTGTCTTCCTGGCGTTAATCCGACGATTTTAAACGCGGCTTCGTCGCTAAACTGTAGCTCGTTTTACGCTTTGTCCCCCTTTTTTCGCTGGTTTGTCGATGGGAACGAGAGTAACAAACCATAGTCGATGTAACAAAAAATTGAAATATCATTCTTTTATATACTATAGAGTGTATGAAATAAATAGTTCTTATATTAAATTTAATCTGTCAAAGGACTATAAATTAATCTGTGGTACTATGCTGGCTGATTTTTAAGGAAGTATATGTATAAAGTTTTATGGTAGAATTTATGCATGACCCTGGTTCGATTTTAATACTTCTTCCGGTAATTTCACGGCTCGATAGCAACGAACCGATATCCATGGAATTATCTTTTGTACGAAATATTATAGCGTATAAGGGTATATTTCATCGCTACAGAAATACAAAAAAATTGTATGGATTTAATATAGAAACATCAGTATTCTATTCGAGAGTACAATAAGAGGTTCAAGTGTACCTATGTAATACAAGATACAAACGATGTAGACTGAAGAGCAAAGTGAATCTGGCAATTATACCCGAGCCCTTCGAGTACCCTTGTAAGCTGGCGGACCACCAACACCGAGGATTTCTGTGACAAATGTAGGTACTTGATATTGGCTACCAGAAGCTACTGTATCCTGTGTTACTCGTAAACTAAGATTCCCAAGTCCTATACGGATGTTTATACAAACTCATTGGTTTACAAACACAGTTGAAAGAACAGTAGTTAAATATAAATTAATTTATCTTGTAATTATTGATTATTATCTTCAAATTATTATTTTGTATGTACATTTTATGCACTGGAAAAATATTCATAAACCGTTCATGTTAAGCAATATTAAAATTTATACATATAAGTAATTTATATGATTTGTATAAATAGATGCACGAATCTGACGTTTATCAAGTTGAGGGTTACTAAATAAGTAAAATGATTTAATATTAAGGGAGGACAACCCTTCCACTTAGAAGACATCCATAGAAAAAATTAACGAGCATGATATGTATATAGACAGCCAAGAAAGCTATACATATTATCCCTTGAAGGGATACTATAATTCATGTCTTAGTCGTTCTAGCAGAATCGGTTAACCGGAGGATGGATTCTCGTCCGCGTGGATGAAGATCTACGATCTACGGCCTACGGGGAGTCGAGTATAGAGCGAGGGCCAGACCGGAGCGAGTAATGTGTGTTGAGGTTTTAATGAGGAAGTGAGAAATTAGCGGGCACAGCGCCGAGCCGCTGTGCTTCAGCTGTTTTCCACTGTCTGATAGTTTTGTCAACCCCTATTATATCTATAGACGAGCATCGTGGTCGTGGCTCGAAAGGGAAAAAATTACGACCGTTTAAACGAGCCGAGTCGAATTCGAATGGTGCCAAAGGGTGGGGAGGAGTACGAACGCTGCGTTTCGTGCGAACTAATTGAAAAGGAGGGGATCGTGCTTGATACGAGCTCGAAGCAATGAAATGTCACGAGGAAAATGATTAATTAAGACGTAAAAATTATCATCTCCTAGGGTCGTTATTATAACCATTCTAACTATCGTGCATAGCGCCAAGATAATACTGCTTACGCGCGCCTCCGATTCTTTCCTTACACGTTACTTTTTTCCCCCCTTTTATCGGTTTAAAACGATAAGAGAGACGGCGACGTTTTTGTCTTGTGATATGTAAATAATTTCTGTGTTATTTATTTACACCGATTTTCCCATATTGGACAAACCATAATTTCTGTGAGAACAATTGATCGTCTTCGTTTTCAATAGATCAATTCGTTTTAATGTCACGTTTCACTCGTTGTCGATATCACGTTACTGAGTCATAAAATCGAACAGTCACCAAATGTTTATTAATAACTTATCTATTGTAGGAGGACCCTTTTTTTCTAGATTTTTCAAGCTAGTTGACCTATGCGATACCCTCGAATATATAACGCCCTACGCGAGTACGTACACAATACTTATTGACCACACGCGTGAGACGAGAATTCATCTCCATCTCAAACTTACTCCTCTTCTTGTTTTTAATATGACACTAAAACGCTTATATGGCCAGAAGTTATATGAGGTTATTGCCATCAAAACGGATTTATGTAGATGCATCAATAAAAATTACAATGAGTAAAACAAATAAAGTTTTCTTTACGTCCCTTTACTAACTCGAACACATGAAGTATTTTAAATTGCAAATTAGTATCATGCACTTTTTCCTTGTTATTATGATAAAATGTAGATGCACATAAGGCAAATTCCAATATGATACGAAATCCTTGTTGATAGTCCATTTTTGCCCTTCGTGTCATTAATTGTCATTCTGTGAAGTAGAAAATAATTTGGAAGGTATATAGTACAATACATATTATGAAATGAGATGTCTATAAACAAGTATTATTAAAATGCAAAAGAAAAGCTATCCGTTTGAAAGTTTCTAGTTAACGCAGGTGCATTTAGCTAATATGGTCAAATTAAACTTTCCATGACAGGCTTGTTATTCTAGAATGTCGAGCGTTAGTATCATTTATGTGCGGCGCCTCTCGAACGTGGCGGAGTGTCGATCAGCCCTGACAATTGGTAAATGGCTCTCTCGTACTTATGCATTTCCGTATGCGATGTTGAAACGTAATGATTTTACTAGTCACAGCTGTTCTCGGACAATTCGATCATTAGCCTGATTTTAATTCAGTACCGAATTAAATATCAATTATGAGTTTAAGCTAGTTTTTATTCTTACTCAATATTGTCAGTCAAGTGATACTTTTAAAAAATGACGAATACGAAAGTATGACAATACTATGGAAATTTCAATAACTTTTTACATTATATGTATATTT